CAACACTCAACATATGTTTGATTAAATTTTATAAGCGGTCAAATCACTTTTCATTTACATACTTACAATAACAATCTACTTATCAACCATTCATTTCTTTCTAATTATAATTTAACTTGTTTATAAACATTTCCCAAACAAACTCTTAGTTGCATTGCATTCCGACTCCAATACCTCAATCGCAAATCGGCTGACTCAGATTTCCATTCAGACTGAGTGCTTGTGACCTTAATTAACCCCAAAAAATGACCACAAATTCCTCTGGACCGTGACGCAAAAATCTTAAACCAACATACCGAGACGCCAGCGTGTTGTGCCCAATGTGCACTGGACNTCATTTAAGTGAATTCAAAATTATCAAACTTCAATGTTAATCTAGGAAGCACCTACATACCACAGATGCCAGTGTGTTGTGCCGAATGTGCACTGGACACGCTCGAAGATATGTCAGCTTACCTCCTTCAAAGTAAATTGACTACCTACACCTGTAGAGATTTCTCAATTGCGAAATGCATCAAAGCCTTGGTACTAAGAAACAACAAGATAAGTTAAAGTAATTCAACTAATTCACATCGAGATCATGAATGTTTGAATCCATATTACAAAATGAGACATGGCTTTCGCTAACTCGTCGGCAACCGGGAATGAAATTAAAATGGGAGAAACGATAAAGAAACAAAAAGCAACTGAATAACTAAAATATCCAAGGGAGAAACATCACCTTCAAACAGCTGGAGGAGGAAAAGGGGCTGGTTGGAATACGAGACACCTGATCGTGCGTGAAAGTTGGTAAAGGACTTCAATTATCCAACTAAACTACCAGTGAAAAACCTTCTTTCACATTGTTCAGGTGCAGGTTTGACAATCACTTCACCTTCAAAAAATTTCATTGAGTCCATCAACTACTACTAGCACCCTTTTGAATGATTGCAATCTAAACCCCTTCGGAATACATGCCAACATAAGATAAGACTCAATGAAGGGAAGACGCAATTCTCGTAAAGCAACTAAGACATATGCAAGAGTTGGGGCACACAGCACATATGTTAAAAGTCACCATGTTGTTGGGGGTTTGCCCAAAAGGTAACTATGAAAGATATAAGTAAAATGCAAAAATTATAAGCATCAGCTAAATTGATAATAAAAATAATGAGCCAAAACGTTGGCATTCTCATCGAGCAAAAGAGAAGGACTAGAGAAATTGAAAAAGCTTTAAATATAACAGCATATAATAAATTTCGATTCCAAAATTTCTAAGAAAGTTTATTCACCTGTTTTCCTTTCCACATTAGTTGTTCCACAATTTTTGCCAATAATTCCTCGTTAAGATATTTTCTCTGGCTAGGAAAGAGCGGCATGAACATGAACACAGAATGTGATCTTTCAAAAAAGTAAGACGTGATGCGTTAATTAAAATAATTTGTCATTTCTTTTAATAATTTCAGTATAAAGCAAACAGAAAATTGTTCCTAGTTGCATCTAAGTATATGAAAAATGTAAAACAAACTTAACATTTCATTATATATATTATCTATACAAAGTTCAACAAAATAAATTCTATCATCCATCTTCAATTGTCTCTTCAACAAGTTCATTTTTGTCATCAGTAAATACCATCCCTGCTAATTTTGGTCTAGAGATAAATTAACTTCAAGCACACCACCATCTACAAAATGAATCAAATATATCACCACCAATCTCCACATTTTAGTCTCTCCTTACAAATATTGTAGACTCCTTAACAAGATCCACAGATCGCCATGAACAAATACGAAATTCTAGCAACGTAATTTGTTTGAAGAGAACACTCAAAGGAATAAGTACTCCAATTTCCTTAACAGCACGACGAAAAAATGGTTGCACCAATAATTTGAAGGTCAAGTTATGGTGCATAAGCACCACAAAACAAATAACCCACCAAGCCTTTGGATTTTCATATGGTAATAATCATGGATAGAATAAAAGTGCACAAGTCTTTCGCCAAAGACGAGAAATTAGTGTGCTCTATATTGACTTTAATGCACTCGTCTATCGTTTAAGGCATTTCACTATTTCTCATGAAATCTCACACAAAGGAACTCAAGTGACTATGTCCATCCTCACTATTGTATCTAAACAATAAAGAAAAGATTATTAGATTAGTAACAATCTAGTAATAGAAAATAATACAAAAAAGTGAATAAAAATTAAATACGTGATTTAGAAATGAGCTTAGAATTAAAGAATGGGCCAAGCAATGGAGCATTATTATTCCAACTATCACAAGTATATATTTGAACAACATAAAATGATGATACCACCTTTTGAAACTTCATTTCACATTTAGAGATCATTCCTTTCACTTTCTCTATCATGGTAACATGTTATACATCAAGTAAAGACGAAGTTTATTCGTAAAAAAGTTAACACGTGTCATAATACTCTTTTTATCCGAAAGCATGTCCTTAACACAATAATACATCACCTTCTTCATAATGACAGGGGATAGAATAAATTTAGTAACACAAATTCATCAAACGGTATGAGCGTTAGAGAGAAAAAGCTAACACAAATTTATATGATAAGAAATATAGATCTAGCAAAAAACTTGGGAAGCTACTATTGGAACCTTATATGTTGACATCAAGCAACTACACTGACATGAAACAAGCTAATTACCAACCGGCCTTTGATCGAGATAGAGGTCGCATTAAACTACATTATGATGATTAGCTCAACAACGTTCAACCAATTAAATAATGAAATTTCCGTGAGGAAAGAACAATATGAAACTGATTGGTAAATATACATCTAATAAGACCTAAGTGAATGTGGCTCTAGTAGCTTATTAAAACTTCAAGATATTAGGACAACATACCATGTTCAATAAGCAAGAACTCACAAACTTCATAAGAATAACAGGAGCATCTCATCAGTTTTAAAATGCATGAAAGAAAGGTTTTCAAACGCACTGTGGGGAAAATATCATTAAAGAAATTGTGTTTGATCAAATTATGCAATCAACCTTGTACAGGTACAAGAAAAAAATTATTTCAAGCTGTATAGAGCTATTCCAAACAAATATAAAGCTCCATAAAACTTAGCTAAGCTTCAGCATATGTTACATTAATCAACAAAGATGATACCGAGTACAAAAATTATGACAAGGTACAAAGGGAGTGTCCAATAGCATATTCCTAGACACACTTAAGCACATAATTGGTAACAATCCAAAAAAAAAGGCATAGCTGAGAAACTCGCATCATCATGTCCACATGGAAATAAGTCTCAAAAATCACAATAATTATACTGTCTACTGAGAATATTAGTATATATTACATTCCTAACTTTCTATGCATGACCTTGGTAGGCTTTGAATTCAAGTTATTGTCATAAAAACTTTACAAGTGGTACTCTGATAAGCTTATCCAAGCACTAAGAAATAACATTTACCTAAGCATCTAAAGACTTTAGTTCAGAAGAACCTCATAAGGCATGCTACAAGATCCAGAATGAACCCGAGTAGTAGCATACATTTATGAAAATATAACTCATGCAGGAGTGCAATTAAACCGAAAGCATATTCTTTCTTCGTGACAAAACTCTTAATTGTTGCTTGAACTTTCATGTTAAGTTAAAGATACTCATGTAAAAGCCCCTCAATTAGCATAATTTAGACAAGATGCCGTACAATCCACAGAACTTGCAAAAACAAAATTTATAACTATTTTGCAGTTCCCTGATTTTCCTTCCTTCCTCATACTCGTGAAGCATAAATAAACAACTCAAATAAATTAACTAGTTTAATTATATTGAAATTGAAGGCAAGAAATTTAATAACCAGATTTTTATTTCAGCAACATAGAATTCATTATATATAGGAACATTTTCTCACTGGATAAACTCCACTTAAACTCAAGGTTAGACGTAGATCCAACACAGAGCGCAACCTACTGAAAAGAAGCACGCTAT